ATATGACCATATATAACTATAGTTAATTAGATAACATGTTCGAATATAAATATATTACATAGAAGGTACCAATTAAGTAATTTAAATGTAATGTAATTTAATGCAAATTATTTTAATATATAAAACCTACTAATAACCTTATTGTTGATGCCTTAAAATTTTTTTTTTAAATTCTATATTTTATTAGCTTATTATATGAACCACGATTAAACAATAATATTACAAATTGAGTGGTTTATATGGTAATTAAATGAGATTTTGCCGATATTGGTAATTTAACCACAATATTTATAAATAACATAAAAATGTATTTTGTGCCTAAAAAACCCAATATGAATTTGTTTATAATTAATAATATGAACCAAGTAAATCATAAGATATAAGTATAAAGCATAAGAAAAAAAGGGTTCGAACTAAAAACGTTTAACATTTAATTTTCTTGTTTTTCTGATTTGAAAAAAAAAAATGTGTAGGTAATATATTTAATGAAGACATGTAATAAGTATATAAATACAATGGTTTTTTATTTTTTAAAGTTCTTGAATGTTTTTTATTTTTGTAGGCACATATTTTTTTACATTAAAACACTAGAAAAAAAATTTATAATTAATAAATCTGATACCTCTATATATATATTTAGATATATTATTGCAATATTTACATAAAACATAATTTGGATGAAAAATGTATGAAATCGGGTTGAAGATGAAATAAAATAATGACAAGAATACATTATTTAAATAACTTTTTTCAGTGAGAGCTAATTTAACTAATTTAATAATAATTAATCGTATGTTAATCGTCTGTATACCCCATAGGACATAGGTACAAAAGAAAATACACACTATTCCACTTGTATGTTGACTTTGAATAATACAGTATGTTGTAATAAATTTATATTGCTTACAGTTAATGCACACCGTAGGGCTTATAAATTCGGTACCGCTCTACTGGATTTGAGAGGTAAAACATATTATTTAGAACAAGTATTGGTTTGAAAATTATTATTTTAATAATTCCAAACGCATTCTGACAGACGTAATTTGGGTACCAATTACATTTTTGAATCAGTGCTAATCGAGATATACCGCGGGTGCGCCGTACCTGCTATCGTTTTGTTAGACATTCACATTGTCGGGTGTGTATTAATTATATTTAACCCGTTTACGTTTAGCAGATTTCATTGTGTTTACCTAGTTTATTTTTATCAAAGATAAAATACTCTCTGATCTTCCGTGTTCGCAATTGTATTTCCCGACGAGATAAAAACGTTAACGTAAACGTTTACATAAGCTCACCTGTTTGAGATTAACAACAATCGTTGTTATTATCAATCGAAAGTAATTAATGATGGATCTAATTAAAATTAGACTACATTGATTCATTATTTTAATAGCATTCTATGGGAATAACGTGAAAAAGTGATCTTATTATTATCTTAAGTCTCTAAAGCATAAGGCTTGGATATTTTGGATCGCATAACTTTTTCAGTTGTAAACCAAATTATTACGATAGGTGAATAAAAATACCGGCAAAGTTTTATCAGAGTTGTATAAAAAACGCATAGTATTTGGAACTTATTAATTTCCGTATCATCGAAAATCAATCTATGACTAGCTAGAATCTAAAATTTACATAAAATATAATATCATTGTATAAGAAATACATTTACAATTTTAACTTATGATTCGTATAGTGTTTGATACAAATATGATTCCATTAAAAATAAAATATACAATGATTTGTAAATCTTTAATTTTAATATTCGTTATGAATGTGGCCATGTAAAATTGATGTAAAAATATTTATAAGCATTGCTTTTCAATAACTTTGTAAAATCCAACACAAAATAAATATTTTAAATACTATGATTCTGTAATAGTCATGTCTTGTTTTTTTTTATTAATTAAAGGCTTCAAATACAAAGGTTTATTAGCCTACGATGGTTTACATGTTTAATTTATAAATATAATGAAGATTTGATAGTTGTRATGTGCTGTCTTTGGTTCTTGTCTTATATGTTGGTTGTGAGGTCGGCCATCTTGATGAAGTTTACTATGTTTTTTTCTTGTCCTGGTCCGAGTGCGTCTTTGAGTGAGGAGGTGTTTATGTTTGCTTTTGATCTGGCGTTATGGTAAGTGGGGCATTCTAGGAATATATGATTAACAGTGAGTTCGCAGTTGCATGTTTCACACCTGGGTTTGAGCTCTCTACGCATCAGATAGGAGAGGGTGATTCTTGTATGTCCGATGCGTACTCTGGCGATCGTGGTGTCTTCATGTCGTGTAAGCTTGACCTTGTTTATTTTGTGTATAACTTAAGATTTATTTTATGAATATTTATATACGTTATTTATAATTAATCTTTTAATTTATATCATATTTTTCATTAGGTATTATTATTATTACACATAAAAATCATCCAATTAAATGTATATTATTATTGTTTATATATAATAAACTGTATCTATGTACTATGTAAACATATTTTTATTTTTAATTATTTAATTGTAATTTTTTTAAATTAATTGTATAATCTCTTTAGTAAAGTAAAGTAATTAATATTTATATAGTACACACTTACATATTACTCACTATTTTATACGAAAATAAATTTTATAATCGGTCACAGTAATATTAAAATGGCTCAAAAAATAAATTATAAGAAAGCCTAACAATTTAATAAATGAATGAGACACTTAACAAATATTACCGACATATTTTGTAAGGACATACTTTTAAATTAATGTTTTTTTTTTTTTTTTTTTTAATTCAAATTTGTTGTTTTTAAGGGAACACTGAAAAATGTCTAGTGTTAAGCATTTAATTATTTTAATGGACCAAGGATACGATTCTTTTAAACGTAATGACATTTTATTTCCTGGCAATAGTGTTCTAGATCAATAAAACAAAGGGTGCTCATTATACTTTCATGAATATCACCCTTTTCCAAGACCGACACTTGAATATTAATTCATTTAATTCATTATCATTATATTTACAATGTAGTTTCTAAGCAATGCTCCAAAATATTTCTTATTTAATTTAATGCGCTATTGAAATACTCTATATTTATTCCAAATCCGTGAATTTAGATTAGCTATACAATTTAGTATTTACTTATATAGGTAAATGTTTATTATAACTCGTTTATAATATTATTATATAGTTGTTTGTTTAGAATTTTCGTTTATTTCTATATTTGATTTGCATTTGATTCGAATAAAATAAAACTATAGTATTATTACCGATAATAGGTAATTAATAAGATACAATGGTTAGTTCTCCCTAATCGATTTGCAAATAAATTACAAATAATGGGTTTTTTTTTTTTTAGAGTAGATGTATTAGGTAGACAAAATCATCAATATTAATATTTAATAGTATTATAATTAATGATAATGGTTTAAGCTATTAGAGGCCTCTTCAAAAACAACTTTTACTAATAATTAACAAATTAAATGAATAAAATATCATAAAATAATGTATATGTGTTACGGTAAATTATGTTATATCGGAAATTAACGTGAATCGCCGGTTTTTTACATTATTTACCTACGAATGTGGGAATTATCGTTATTTTCTAGTGAATAACGTTAATAACCGTATGATTTGGAAAATGTTGATTTGATTATAAAATAATGGCTAGCGAGCAATGATAAAGTGACCGCTAAACTAATTGTGGTACTAATTGGGTAAATCAATAAAACTTTATCGGCCACAGATAAGGTGGCTACTAGACCGTCTGGACCTACACGGTATACAATTATTACTATACATATTATAACATCGGTGGAGCCGTGGAGGTTACATTTGAAAATATCATACCTATCGAAAATTTATACAGATTATTACCTTAGTATGTGTACAACTGTCATCGTATTTACCATTTATTTAAAATGGCTATCGATATACAGACTACCCTCAAGGGTACTAGTGTTGCCATTGCAAGACTGGTTATAATAATAAGCGTTGTGCCTGCCGTGGAGCTGAAAAATTATGTAATAGTAAATATCATGGGAATAAAACTTGTAAAAACAAATAAAAAATAATAATGCATTTTTTCTATTTTTAAAAATACCTAGGTACATCATTTTTCAAATTGTAGTATTTGAGATTCACGTGCATAACTGGTCTATAACATCAATTACCTGTGTATTTGGTAAATAACGTTAATAACTGGCGAATAATGTTAATTTCCATTTAACATAATTTACCGTAGCATATATATATATATATTAAACTGTATACGTTAAAGATAAACTATAAAGTATAAAAGTTACACGCCAAAGCTTTTGAATCCTCTCCAAAACCCTATATTAATCCACTTTTATACATTACCTACCTCAAAATCGGTAAATATATATTTTTAAATTAAACCAAACCAAATTACATGTGTTATGAATAAAGGATAGGATAATTTGAAATAATATATACCAACTGATCAAAATATTGTATAAGGTATTCAATTTTACCCTGTATTGCATTAGTCAACCTATTTTTTTCACAAAAGTTATTTAAATAATTATTCTTCTGAAGTCTATAAATCAAATTTATGCTTTAATTTATAATATAGTACCTATCACCTTTATATAGGTATATAATATGATTAATATGTAGATGAGTAAATGCATAGGTAACCTGATGATAATTATTGACGGAGATAAACAATAAACATCAGTATTCAATAACTTTGAATTAGTCTATGATTACTGACAGCATATTCAGATAAAGAATTCTGGTGTAGAAAACAATTTTTAAAATTAAATTCGTTAACTTTTATAATTTTATACATAACTAGGTGTACACTGTGAACCATTTTCGAGTGTGTAATACTGAATTTTGAACTCAAAACTTGTGTGCCGTGAATTAAATTGTTTACGTTGTGTACTTTTATATACAATTATCCTGTTCAACATCGTTCATTAAAACATACAATTCTAATAGTCAAAAACAGACTGAAAATAATAATAATTAAATGATTACGTTGGTTTTTTCCAGGACTTTTCCGTCGAGCAATACTGCTGTCGGGCTCAGCGCTGAGCAGCTGGGCTCTAGTCGAAGACCCCGTTTCGTATGCACTAGACCTGGCCAAGCAAGTGAATTGCACAATCGACGGGACCGGAAACAATCCGGAACCGATTGTGGATTGTCTGCGGGAAGTGCCCCTGGACTTGTTGATGTCCGCCGGCGTCGCGTTACCCACGTACCTGAGTGCATTCGGACCCAGTGTCGACGGTGTGGTGGTCAAGAGCAACTACCAGGAGGACGTCATCACCAATCTGCTACCAGAGTTTGACGGATACAGTGGGTCCAGCGTGGCTTTCGGTGCCCGTAAGTTTCAAAAGTTTGAGTTTGGCAGTGGCATCAACAAATACGACTTATTATTCGGTGTCGTCACTAGCGAGGCGCTCTGGCGATTCAGCTCCAACGACATACAGGTAACACGCCCACTAAACATTACCATCATATAAGTCCTATCGATTTCTTTTCTATTGCCGTGTTTGGTACAATTGAATGTACTAGCTACGACATAGCAAACCGTTGGCGCTTAATCGCGTTTCTATTACCGACGAAGCGACAACGTACGATTCGTTCTGTTGACGTTTTTTGTCGATAAAATATATAATGGATGTTTACTGGTAATGTTTAAAACGTTGAACGATAAAAAAAAAAGAAGTATTACATAAAAATAAAATAATATTATATTATATTATCATTTGTCAACGATCAATAATATTGGACATTATAAAACTCTGCGTATTCAATATCTTCTCACTATAAAAAGCATAATATAGTATTCTTTAATTCCTGACAATTTTTACCCCTCATAAATTTAAGTTTATTAAAAGAAACTATATTGTAAAATACAGTTATTGCGTATAGTATATTTCTTGTAAAAATTAATTTTTTTTTTATATTAAACAATTTTTTTTTTCATTTTGTTACTTTAAAACTTTTTGTAGGATCTATGTAAATAGCTTTTTTGAAGTAGTTTTTAATATATTCTTTTTTATGGTTTTTTTTTTTTGTATAACGCATTTTAAGTTATTTATTTCATATAAATTAGTATACAAAGAATATTTTTTAAATTCATAATAATTGCACAATTGAACTAGTTAGGTACTGTTTTTGTGAAAAATATACGATATGCATTACATAGGTAGTTAATTAATTTAAAAATGATGTTTAAATAATAATAGTAGACTGTTCCAACTAAAAAAATCTCAATGAATTACTAAGTATTATCTATTTCAGCTCTATACCTACAAAGTAATAATATACTAAAAGATTTGCTGTAAATGTATAACATAAAAGAATTCAATTCTACAAATTTATTGCACATTGAGAATACGTACAAATAGTATCCAGTTCATCGAATCCTTAAAGACGCAAAATTTAGTAATAGGATTACATTAGGAATATGCACTTAAATTCATTACGTGTAGGTATATGGTATAACTTTTTTAGTGATGGACATATTATATTTCTAAGTTTTTTTAAATTTTTATCCACTATGGTCAAGTATTTCAAAATTAAACATTTGATTCCGGTTAAATGACGGCGCAGGTGTACTAAACTGCATTCGTCTCGTATTGATTACAATTTCAAAAACAATTTCATTTTACTCGGCATCATACAATTTCCTACGATTATATTTGTATATTAATTCCATACAAATTCGTAAACGAAATGCATTATTATTGGCACTACCACGCTGTGATGGCAAAAATGAAAAACAGCAGAGGTTTGAGTAGAACAACAAGAAACTTTGGTCTCTTTAATTTCTCTTTTAGCCTTTTAGGTGTTTCCAAAATGACTCTGGAGGGAAATTTCGTTTTAACCCAACCACGTTTTTCTGTCACGTCCGATTCCCGTTCCCGCGGGATCGTCGTGTCGTACGAGAAACTTAAAAGTCCTTTTTTCCCCTTTCATCCAGTTTCACCACTGTCTCTCTGTGTCACTATTTGTCTTTTACACACTCTCTCGCTTTCTCTCTCTTTTTCACTACCTCTCTCTCTCTTTCTCTCTGTCTATACATGGCTCTGACTATCTATCTCTCTCCCAATCTCTCTATACATCTATACATCTGATGCTCTCTCGTTCCAGGCTGGCTTCGAAGGTGACCGCCGAGACAAAATCCTGCGTACGTATGTCCGGAACGCATACAGTTATCACTTGTCCGAGATATTCTTTACCATCGTCAACGAATATACGGACTGGGAGCGAACTGTCCTGCATCCGATAAACACCAGGGATGCGACGATTGCGGCTCTGAGCGACGCCCAGTACGTGGCGCCTTTAGTGCACACGGGTGACATGCTCAGCCAGCCAAAGACATCGGTTGCCGATGACCTCAACAAAGAACGGAGGACCAAATCATTTTTCTACGTATTCGACTATCAGACCAGGGACGGTGACTATCCTCAGGTTAGTGCTTGAATTCGTGTATCAAACTACTAGAGCAGTTACTATATTAGCTACTCTAAAGCAGACGTTATGATATTTTCAGATTATTATAAAATAATTTTAATATTAAGTAGTTTTGACGTTGCTAGATATTAGATGGCATATGATTTTGTAGAAATAAGTTTACAATTATAATAGTTCCATGCAACACCCAATACCGAGATCCTCGCTTACCATAACTTTACTGTACATCATATGTCTATAATTATGGCGTGGTAATAAGACAACTGACTCTCAGTGGCTGCGTATAATATATAACTTCTTCGACTCAAAATTCTAGATTTACTTAGTCAACATATTATGACGAATAAATACGACAATGCAATATAATATTATAACTACTATTTATGGTAATACTTAAGCTAAGATAAAAATATGTAAAGTTAATATTATTATTATTATTCATTATCTGTGGTTAGACAACGAGGAATTATATACAAATAGTCACTTAAAATACCTAACATTGAATCTCCACAAAAAAGTTCCATACATTTCTTAAGTAAAATAAAATTACAATTCAATATTCAACATTTTTTTGGCATATATTAAGAAATTAAATAACATTATATTATACAAAAAATGGAATTTGTAGTAGGTACTAAGATCAGATTAAATTTAAAAAATGTATTGCTTAATATTGTAATATACAACTAAAATATTCTATAAAATGATTTATTAATCATTTTAAATGAATTAATAATAATTAACAACCTATAAAAGTCATTATAAATTTCTTAATTAATAAGTGAAATAAATTTTTTTCCATATTAAAACAATAAAAATAAAGTTTTATTAATATATTATCATCTAGTCTCTAAGTCATTATTAATTACTACACTAAAATAAGACAACAATTAAATCGACTTAAAAAATTGTTCATGCGATTAAAATAAGAAATTAATGAATAAATAACGAATCAATTTAAAATGCGTAGGTACATTTAAAGTTTGCACTCTCTTGGGTTTAATCAATCTTATTGAACAAGTCTTGAAAATAAACGATTAGATTTTAAATAAATGATGATTGAGTACATCTTTTAAAATAGGTGCATAAAATATCTTGTCGTAGTGAATATTTAATATAAAAAGATGATTTGTCATAGAAATGTACAACTTCTAATAAAATTGCACCTCAAAAAATATACCTAAAATGTTTTATAATATATTTATTTTGTTCTTTTCTAGACAGTTGAAAAATTACTTTTTCTTGGTTTTGTTCAAAAAGTTAAAAATATTTTGAAACTGATATTGTTTTAAATTCGAAAAATAGATCATTCCATTATTACTAGATAGGCATATTGAAATTCATTCTTTTATTCGGCGAAAGTTTTGAATGATTTAGGGAAGTCATTTGAATTTACTATACATATGCTCTGTTTTGTTATTATCCAATTCGCGAATTTCCAACAATTTAACCAAATCGACGTGTACATTCAGTTGCAATTTCAACTTTAGTAAGTTCACTAAATCTTCATGAGTTAGATGTTTATATATATAGAAACTATAACAATAATTTTATTTCAAAAGAAAAATATTTTATCTCATCATTTTTTAAGAATAGTTTTTTTTTTTTTTTTGAAATTGAAATTAAAATTATAACTATATATTATAAGACTATCTGTGTAATAAATAGTAATTAATAATTATAATATAATGTATGGACTTATATTATATTAATGTCTGTTTTAGAAAGTTATAATTGTTAAACTCGATCATAGATCTAAAATTCACGAAAAATATAATTTTAATTATAGTATTTATTATTTGTGTATTTTCAAACTACAAAAATATATAATTTGAAAATCATAATGTAACAATAGTTTCCTATTGTTTTTTTTTTTAAATATAAAATATATTTATTTGTTTTACATTTAATTAAATTAAATACCATGGAGATATAAAAAAGTAAAAAGTCAATGTTAGTAACATCTATATAGCTGGAAAATTAGTCATAATAATATCGCTTGTTTGCTACAATATCGACATAACACAAAAATCGTCATTTTTGAGTTGTTTGCAAATAATAATAATTTTGGTGTTTTTCTTTATGCTGCAAGAACGACATAAGTGAACATACATAAATTAGCCGCTAGATGGCAGTTGTGACGTTATTGCGTTATCATTATTTATATTTATTTATATTATTTCAAATTCATTTTKTGTAAAATCATGTTTTTCGTGTTATGTCGATGTTGTAGCAAACAAGATTATAAAGTATACCTAAATTAAAGCTTATGTGACTGATGTTAAGAAAACTTATCAAAAGTTTGAAATACTTACAGGAATTGATGCTTATCATAAATACAAATATTATGTAACTAAAAGTTTTAGCAATTAACTCAAAGTTAAAAATAAATTTTAAACGCCCATTAATGTAAATAACAAAAAATTATTATAAAAAAGATATTACATTAAAAACATAATATGTTAAGTATATTGATCAAAATTACGTAAAAGTTATATTTTTTAAAGTTTCGTTTTTAATTTTTTTACTACTCAATGAAATAATGTTTATGTATCAAAATATACAATTATATTATTGTAAAACTTCRACTACAATAAATCTAAAATCCCTGTGTATTGTAATATCTTTAAATTATAATTGACCATTAATAATTTTTTTCATATTCTCTATAGAAAAAAAATATTTATCAAAAATTAGGAGATTAAATCAAAAATCAAAATTTTGATTACAATAAATTAAATTAAACCTCATCACCTACACTAGTCGCCTGTATTGTCGAAGCAGACATTTATTTATGTAAATTTTAAGACCAATAAAAAAAAGAACTTATCACGTTTTTATTTTTCATTACTTAAGCCATATTTTTTTTTAAAATAAATAAATAATTCATTGTTTGAAAATAATTATAGTAATTATAGCATCACCGTGTTTTTTCCTCAAATCAACAGGAATTTCTTGTCAATTTTTAGTAAATTTTTGCATTCACACGTATAGAAGAGATAGAAGAGATTGTAAAACAAAAATTATTACCTGGGTTCAATTTCTGCGGGTACACCTCTGCACATTATCTTATGACGTATATTATTTTTTTTATCGACCTTTACGAAATGTCTAACAACAAAACTACCACAGTAGCGTATTTATGTTGTTGGTAAGGTCTCCGGAATACAAATATAGTAAATTGTAATTCCAAACATTTTGTATAAACATCGTGTAACGTATAATATTATTATTATGTATATTATACGAACGAGTCTCATTGTGATTTGTTACGGCGTAAGACAACGTTTTTGTTTCGCATGACCATGTCGTATAAATAATACGAATATGAATAGGTTGACAAATCGTATACACACGTGGCACGTTTTTTTTGTAATATATACCTAAGCATGTATATACGAAGACACTAGCGTATGTATTATTGTTATTGATGTCATCACGGGTATATGAAGGGACGCATAACGCGTACTACACTTATATATACCGATATATACCGATGAAACACGGATAGTAAGCCATTATAATATTTCGAAAAAATGTCAGAAAGTAGATGAGTAGATTGGTAGGTAGATGGGTGGGTAGGTACCTACATTATAGACTGGCATTATATTGCTTACATGTATTATTGCAGAACAGTGGACATAAAGTGAAATGTGTATTGGGTCTCACACAATGAACTTTTTTTTAACATTATGATATTATAAAATAAACTTATCATGTTTTATTCAAAGGTTTTATATTTTTGAGCAGCTGAGTGTAACATGTTTCTGTTAAATCATTCATATGTATATTATCCTGATAAGTATAACATTTTTCTGAACATGTACAAAATATTAATATTTCGAGGTACTTAATATACAGGATACTAGTTGTAGGCATTTTTTAAATTTAGGTAAAATAATTGGAGTGGCAGAGTTATACGCCTCTCAAATTTGCTCTGAATTAGTATTATTTACTTTAAATGTTATACGCAGTATAATCTTTGACTCTTTATTGCTTAAATGATTGGTATTTACTCATCTACTTTTTCATAAAAAAATATTTTTATTTTTAATTACGTATGTTATTGAAAAATATATGGGGCTGTTAAAAATAAAAAAAAAAAACTGAAAAACTCGATCGGCTGTATTTGCAGAGTGTTGAGTGTCATACAGCGTAAATGAGTAAGCAATAGTGCGATGCATTTATATTATGTTAGATTTCAATTCAATGATGATAATAGGTACGATATAAAACCCCATTCTGAGAGGTTCTATGATGGCTGATTATATTAATGAGGATATATATATATTACTAAAAGTACTTTATTTAACTATAACTTAAGTATATCGTAAGTATTTAACTTTTAAATCATTCTAGGTATAATACTATAATAGTAGAATAATGTTAATATTTTAATAGGTTCATGGCATAAATAGCTTAAAAATAATATTAAATATTTTAAATATTCTTAAAACTTCGTTGTGTTATATAGAAATTAATAAATACACGTTGTGTCAAAAAGTTTCTAGTTCTTACGAATATTATTTTTTTAATTACAAAAAAAATTAAATCATTTTTTTCTCTGTAATGACTTGAAATGTCTATACAAATTAATTTGTCAGAATAATATTATCTATAAAGATCAAAAATGCATTTATGGCAGACACAATAAAACACAAGCTTTAGTGCAAAACAAATACATTCATCTATCCGCTCATAATCTAAAATAAAAATAGTTTATTATAATTAAATAATTTATTCTGAAAACACAACAAAGTAACTACCTAGTTTAGTTGATATAATGTATAGGTACACTATAATATTAAGACATATTAATACGAAAATGCTAAATCTGACTTTTTAATGTTTGAAAAAACTCATCTTTGATTATTGCATAGGTATCATTGTCATTATGGGTTAACAAGAGGTAGCTAATTGATCCCCCTTAAATTTAATTATTTTATCTACAGACTACTCAAAGGTTTTATAAGACCACATACAATTGAATTAAAGAT